AGTTTGACCAACAAGAAGGCCGTTGGGTATATGTGCTGTCTCTTATACACATCTAGATGTGTATAAGAGACAGCTTCTGTATCTACAAAAACAGCAAAAAAAAAAAAAAAAAAAAGGAAACCTGCCACTGGTACGGCGCACGAGCAGGTGCCGCGCCCCACGATGTGCGGCACACCGGACTGTGCGGTGCACAGTGCGGTTGCAAGTATGCTACATAGTATTTACTGTATTTCAAATGCTGTGCATACTACATAGTATTTACTGCATAGTATACTACATAGTATTTACTGCATAGTATTCACTGTATTTAAAATGCTGTATATACTACATAGTATTTACTGTATACAGTGCATAGTATTTAGTATTTACTGCATAGTATACGACATAGTGTTTACTGCACAGTACACCACGTAGTATTTACTGTATTTAAATGCTGTGCATACTACATAGTATTTACTGCATTGTATAGTATTTCGTGTATTTAAAATGCGGTGCATACTACATAGTATACTACATAGTATTTACTGCATAGTATTTAGTACTATTTACTGCATAGTATAATACATAGTATTTACAGCTAGCCTCTCAATTGCTCAGGTTGCGCCTCCCCTCGGGTTGTGCTGTGATAAGCCGTGCTCCTCTCGCATTCTATGGAGTTGAGGTTTGCTAACTTGAGGATGAGCGTGGGTAATTACCCGTGCTCGAACCTTGCGCCGAACCGCCACAGTGACCTTACCCCGTTCCCAGTCGCAGACTAAGACGGACTTTACTGCGACGTGGACGTGTGGAGGACGCTATTGCAGACCGACCGTGTTCACTTCTATAATCTGTCTAAGGTGTGCCATGTAGGGGGAGATGGGTTTGTGTTTATGGATTTGTTTTCTTACCCCTTGTTGATTTTGCCAAACACTGATCTGACCGTGCTTCCTTGGTCTGTGGCGCACACCACGTGGAAACCTCAGTTTAACTGTCACCGGTGTCGGTTCGGGAACTCGTGTTCCTGGTGGAGGTTGGTGCTGGGGTACGGAGGGTCCGTCCAGCTCCTGGATCTCTCCCACAACGTGGGTGCGCTTCCCACAAACTTCCGGGTCTTGGTACCTCCGCTCCCACCCATTCGATGATGAGGATTCCGGTCGATCTGACGGACGGCGTTGGCCCAACTCAGACGCGTAAAGCGTCTCTTTTCTCCTTGGTCCCCACGAAAAGGGCGGTGTGAACCTGACGTAGATAAGGCGTTAATTACATTTCTCTTGCGGGGTTTCTGTATTTCTTTCAGGTATAAGATTGAGTTTTGTGCATCTGTCCCTAAGTCGATGAGCAGGGTTTTGATGCTGTCCTGCATTTCCCTTTCTTTTGATTTCTGCGATTTTGAAATTGTCCCTGCCGGCCGGTGTTTTCCGAACAGCCCTCGGATCTGTGGCGAGAACCCCAGTTTTGCCCTGGCGGTTCAATCCCCCGCCCAAAATCCTCAGCCATGCCCCACCTACCCTGATCGGTCGTCCTACGGGCACGGGAAGCTGCACGGGGCGTGAGGTTGTGTATCACAGTGCGGGTTCATGGGGGGACGGGGCACGGGGAGGGGTGGACTCGGCTGGGGGGGGTCGGGGACGGAGCCCGTGGTCGCTACCCCCTGGCAGGCGCTACGGCTACTTCCCTCGGTGACAGGTGACAGGGTGCGTGACTGCCTACCAGCAGGTTACCTTAGGGACCTGGAACCTGAGCCGGAGCGTAGCGCACCCCATTGGCAGCGAGTGAGAAGCACTGGTCTCAGTCGATACCTCCCCATGTGTGAAAAATGAACCTCTTAGTTCAACACCAGTGAGCGCACATATTCACACCTCTTGCATACATGAGATCACACGAAGTTAACACTGAAGACGACAGAGATTAAGACCAGATAACGCAGCTTATGAATTCCAACAAGTTATACAAGAGCAAAAGAGTTCCGAGTCACCAGTGCACAACAGTGCTTGTCATAGGTAACCAAACACCCAACAGAAATCACCCAGGTAAGTAACTTCTTCCTCTCTGCTCTTCCCTCTCTGTTGTATCACCTCTCCTTGCTGGTCTTCTCCCTAGCTTATGACCTCGCTGTATCTTCTCTCCCTATATGCATGCACACACACACACACACACACACACACTGACTTCTACTCTAAAATCTACTCTGAATACACCCACTGTCAACTCTACTAACCCCTCTGGAGTCCACTACCAACAACTAGCACTAACACTTCTGCACTGGCGCAGCTATGGCTGCCTTCTTCCTGCCAGCACTATCTTCCTCTCTCTCCCTCACTTAGCGCAGCACTCTGGCCTCAGCGCTCTGCTCCTCACTTCAGCGCACAAGTGCACCAGCACTTCCACACTTCTTGCGAATGAGCAATCTGCCCAAACGGGAGGCTGGCCAGTCCTTTTGTAGTCTTGGTTTGCACTTTAACTCGTGCCAGCCTGTCTGCTTCTGAATGTCAAGGCCTGGAACCTTCCCGAATTTTCTTTGGACTGCTGCTGCTTGGGCCTTTGAGTCATGACTCTTCACTTGTGAACGTGACTTTTGACTGTGGACAGCGACTCCTACCTCTGGGTCACGACTCTTGCCTGTGGTAATGCCCTTTTACTCGTGGGATGTGACTTTTCCCTATGACTTTTCATTATGAGACGTGACTCTTGCCCCTAAGATGTGACTGTTTGCTGGGTGCCTGCTGGACTGGACTGCTGAGGTACCCGACTGTGACTTTTCTGAATTTGACGAACTCGGCCTCTCTTGACCAGGGCCTCTGACCCTGAGATCCGAATTTGGGGTCTGAATTGTGGAAGGCCAAGGTTGAGTGCTCCATACTTGAGTGTCCTCTGTGTGTGGGTGGGTTCACCACGCCGGCAAGGTAGGCTGAACATAGACCGTCCCGCCTCCTGTACCCTCCCCCAGCACTATCGCCGACACCCCTCACAACCCTTTCATTTAAAAAATAATAATAGAAAAGAACACGATATTGCTTATATTCAATCATTAGTTTTCCTCCATGCTCGGGACCCGTAAGTTTTTCTTCAGGCTATCGCATATGTGCCTCTTACATAATCCCTGAGGCAAAACAATTCCACTGCATCGCTCCCATCCATCAATACAAGTGTGAACGAGCACGGTCACCTCGATCCCCTGGCAGTGCTTATTACCAGTCCACGACATCCCCCTTCCCAAAATCTTGAAGAGTGCCCTTTCCTATTCCACTGATCATTCCCACACGAGGTCCCCACTGTCGTTTCCCTAGCAAAGCATGAACACGACCATGATTATGACCAGGTTCATGCTTTCATTGGAAACCCACATTAACAAGTTTATTTCACTGTGGGCACCGAGATCCACTGCTTCGGCTAAGGGTCCGGCTCAACTGCTGCTATATTCGTGCTTGGAAAGCACGAACCGGTCACGATCATGGTCATGTTCATGCTTTGTTAGCATGAACATGACACCAGTGAGGCCTGCACTTAATTCGGAGGGAAAATATCTTTCCCTATTCGCCTGCTCCCTGCATGATGGCACCAATACCCCACTGGACTGGTGACGGCCTCTCTCCCCCCTACCCTCATACCTATGGAGGAGGCATGGTAGCCATGACAGAAGCTTTATGGCTATGGCAGATGGCTTCTACACATGCTGCATTTTCATTCCTGCATGTCGGACGGCCCCTCCAACGCACAACCTTTCGTCATTTATCTTCATAGAGGGGCAGGAGACACCATCAAGACAACGGTTGGGCCCGGTTGGGCCGTAGTCTGCATGGAAAAGTGTACCACACTATCATCTCTTTTCCTTTGTTGTTGTTATCGTCGTTTAAGGAAAAGGGAAGATAGAAAAGCGATCGTGCGCTCGGAACCGCACCTGATAGTTTCCATCTTACGGCTCTCCGCCACGAATCATTGTTCAGTAATCCACTTCTGTCAGCGGTATCAAACTCAGGCGTAGAGCGATTGCACAGGAGAAAGCATACAGACTTTCTGCTTGTTATACAGCTCGTCAGCGGCAACGAACTCGGACGTAGAGCTTGCATAGGAGAAAACACCAGACTGTCTGCTTTTCATACAGCTTCGGCTGCTTCGCTCCCGAATCATTTTTGTGTCTTTTTTTGCTTTGTGAATCCTGTTCCTATCCTATCCAACGTATATATCGTCAAACATAGCTGCCCAGTAAACCGTAGGCAGAGAGGGAGAAGAACAAATAATACATCGTATATATAGCTCCATTGGCGCCACCTTTCAGGATTTCCTTAGGAAAGTACATCATCTCTTAGGCTGCGGTGCAGTGAGGAGATATCAGATGCCTCATGTGGTGGATGCTATTGCACTCATTGAACAAGGAGATATCAGATGGCTCTTTGATAATTTCGACGTGTATTGGGATAAAAAAGCATCGAGGTGGAGTGGTGATTACAAGGAGGATGTGATCGCAAGACAAGGGAGGGAGATATCTAGTTGTGTTACACTCTTTCTTCTCTTACTTCTTCTGCTGAATCTCTTTCCATAGTACTTCATTCCTGCCAAATTGAGTCACAAGACTCACAATTCATATTAGAGCATCGAGCTTGTGCTCGTCATCATTGAATGATGAAGTTCCATTCTCTCTCTCTCTCTCTCTCTCTCTCTCTCTCTCTCTCTCTCTCTCTCTCTCTCTCTCTCTCTCTCTCTCTCTCCCCCCC